AACACTGGAAGTTAACCTTTTTTTTTGGCTCTAACTCTCATCATGTACTTTATTTAATCTATAGCAGTTGCTACTTTTATGAGGCCTGGTTTTATATGCTTATTTTCATTCACTCAGCTTAATAAAGAAACCATTTTATATTCAAACCAATCATTTCTGATTAGTTTGAATGATAACTTAACCCAGTCCCAGGGCTCAACTTCAATACTGGTTTAGCCATTTATGCTAAAATAAGTAAAAGGGAAATTATGGCAGATATCCAACTAAATATATCCCTAAGAAATGTCACTTAAAAATGTCAGAAACATGCTAGGACAAGTCTCAGAGAGATAAATGAATGATTATTCTATTTCCTGCTGAAATGTTTCTAATTAAGAGAATTACAGATTTTTCTTAATAGCATCATATAAAAATATATTTTTTCAATTAACTAGATTTCAGTTTCTTCTCATACACAAACACAAAAAACCTAATGGAACTAGCTGGATAACAGATAAAAATACTCTAAAAGCTTTAATTAACTTGCACCTGGTGAACATGTCTTATAAATCTGTGCTTTAAAAGGTTTTTATCTGCATTACCTTTTACACCCATTAACATTTAACATTAATCAATTCATTCTGAAGCTGTAAATGTGCAGGGTGAAAGGATTTCGAAACTAAATTAAAAAAATAGTCTTATGTAACATGAACTTAACGGTATGATGAATATGTAAACAATGTCTTTTAGGCAAGGAGAAACATGTAGTGACATTCTGATCTTTGTAAATGAAAGACTGAAAAAAAGTTTAGTTACAAAAGTTCCTTGTTTGTTTTTACTTTCACCTATTATAGCAATTCTATCCACTGACTTAAAAAAAAAAGCAGAAGCTATCAGTTCACTATTCCTTGTGTTCTGGAGAATTCATCCAATATATATACTTTTTGTACTTTTAATAAAACAATTTGAAATGTAAGAATCCTTGCTAAAGACTGCTTTATAGTGCAATATTTATGTATCAGCACAAAAACATAACTTCACATCTACCTTTTGAGTCACACAGATAAGGTCCTCATGCTTAATCCTCTTTAAAAAACACACTGATTTGTTACTAGGCCTATTCACTGAATAAAGGTCATAGATATCAAATGCCTGTTTTTGTGTAAAATACATAATCAACACCTCTGCCAAGGGTACATGAAAAGCAAATGGCAAAGAGTTTTTAGAAGTAAATCATTCTCATTTCAATCAAATAATAGGTGCTGATATATTAAAAAAGCAGCATTAAAACTGAAGGTAAAAGAGACTAAGCCACTAAATCTCTACTTCCTGATTTTAAAATGATAAACTACAGGAGTCTCCTCTTTCTCCCTGCGGCTTCTTTTTCTTTCATTACATAAAAATAAAATAGATCATACCATCAGGGTGTCTGGTATATGACTTGTTGATCCTTGTTGAGATTCCATTGTTTTCTGTTTAGGTGTGTGTGCCGAATGTCTGATACACATAAAATCAGTGCTTCAGTCTGAACATCAATAATATTAATTCATACCATCATTTGGCATGTCACAACGCTTTTACTGGAGCTAAAAATCATAACTACATTTACACTTTAATCAATATTGTAAAAAATATAGTGCAGCAATGAATGTTCCTCTTCTCCTGAGACATGGGTGCCAAACACGTTAGTACAACTTGAATGTAATTTATGGGTTGAGAGGCGCCATGACAGCACTTGAGCCATTCTACATCCCTCAGCTGATTGAAAACACTGATGAAAATAACTTTTTCTGCAACGCTTTTAATGAGATGCTCCGTGCAGCAGCTGATAATGTGTTCCAAGAAGGACATTTAATGGATACAGTAATAAAGGAAAAGAGGATCCAAAATGTTAATTTGATTCTGTGGCTATTCAGAGCAAGCTTAAGAGTTTTTCTCAATAAACATAAACATCAAAGGGACTTCAAACTAACATGCAAACATGAGTAGAAAAATACAAAGAGCATTTTCAGATCCAAAGAATGCTGAAGTTTTCACTCTCTGGGGATTTCATAAGCCAAACCTCCCCATAGATATAGCAATTTACAATAAACAAAAGTAAAGAAAAAAAAAAAAAAAAGATTTTTAACTGTTCTGTGCTACAAAGTAAGTGTTTTGTGGCCTTAATGTATTTTCTTTGTTTACTTAATTTGTAAATCTGTGCAATGAACTGAACAACTGACCTAGATTACTCTAATCCAACACTGCTCATCCAAATGCGGATAGATACGAGTTCAAAGGCATTAATCTCATAAAATTCTGGATTGTTACATCATCTTCATCAATTATCATTTCCAATGCATGTTCAGTTTCTTTTCATTCAATGTTGAGAGGTTAAAGTTGAGAAATGCATCTTATAAATTAAAAGATTATCCTTAAAGATAATTCACTGAAGGTAAACTTGTATAGGCTTCAATTCTAAACATGTATAAAGTGAATATAGAGGAATTAAAATGCAGACTTTCTTCTCCTCTTAACTGAAAATCTGTCCTTCATTTAGGTAAGTCACTTAACAAACTATTAAAAACTCAGAGGCTAAAGCAAAATCAACTTTCTAAGTATTACGTGTTGGTACATTAAGGCATCGTTTACTGAAATATAGGACCATACATAACTTTTTAACATCAGTTAATTACATTAGTCAAAAAAAATAAAAGATTCCAGACTAAGATACCTCTTAAAATATTATACGTTATCTCCCACCCCTTTCTCCAAAGAATAACCAAACTGCAGTATTCATGCCAATTTGAGCAATTATTTTTTACAGATACAGCATTACCTTAATTCTCTACTTATCTTATGTCACACTTTGAAATAGTGTGAAATTTTAAACTTGAATTACACATTAAAGCAATCATCAACCCAGGAATCCATTTCCTTTTTGTGTTCTTTGTGTAAACCAGAAAAGCCCACAAGTTGGTGCTCCCCATTGGGCCCAAATTCCATACTCCTCCTGGATTAACGTAATTTTTGGAAGGGTGCTAACATTAGCCTGCCTTGTTTTCAACAATCCTTTCTCCATTCAACCAAAACGGTCGATTTCAACACCCAGGGACTTATCCTCAGGCAGTCAGTAAAGCCTGGCATACACTGTACTACTTTTTGCCCTTTTCGGGCAAATTCTACAGGCGTGCGAGAATTTTTCGATTGGTCCGACTTTCAGCCTGATCATGTGTTGTGTAGTGTACAGGGGGTAACGGGTGGATAACGGCGGTTAGCCTCTCGCGACCAACACCCGATCAGGAAGCATAAGGTCTGGAGAAAATCAAACTCAGTCGGAAATTCAGTCGGCCGTCGTAAGGTGGTCATGTGCAAACTGCTCAGTGGGCATGAGCAAACAAGGGTTCTTCTTCTTCCTCTCAGACTTAAACACAGAAGCATGGCAGGGGTGCATGTGAAATGGAGTTATTTCTGTAAAATTTACAGACCGTAGTAGCCACGTTTGCTCAGCCATGTCTTTGTTCAAATACATTGTTGCCTTTTCTTTTTAGGGCTTTCAGCACAAAATTGCACAAATTGCCTAGTTTCTCTCTAGTGATTTTCATATTGAACAGGAAGCATCAACACTTCCGTGTTTTTCCTCTTCTACTTGTTTGGCTTATGGATAGAGGAGTCCAAAAAGCGCCATCTTACTGCAGAGCTGAGTCAAACGTGGTTTTTAGACGTAAAGTGTGAGCAGGTAGATCGCATCAGGCAGCACAGTGTAAGAACATACATCGTGAGCTGTGATCTTTTAAACTCTGCAGTTTCGTTATACAGTGAGCTGTAGCAGCGTGCAACGATTGAAAAAAAAAATAATAATCACACAGTGTATGCCGAAGCGTTGCAGCTTGTGTAACCTTTTCTATTGTGTAAGAGACTGGAAAACAATGGTATACAAACGATGGCTAAAAACTAATGTAGCTAATGCAACATCCTCATTAACAGATATACAAACAAGTTAAATTCTCATACATTCCCTCGCGAGACGATTGAGGAAGGATTGTATGTGTAAAGTAAAAGTACCCGATTATGATTCCTTTAGGCTTGTATTGAAAAAGTTTGTCTTCAGAAACAGAGCAGTAGAGCAGGATTAGAATCAGATCCACTGACTTTGTACCTCAGTTTTTCTTGAGCTCTTAATAAATCCCAACCCATTCTTTACTTGACTTCATGTCATGTTTAAACCAGGTCAAGTTTAGAAAAAGACATAGTAGGTCATATTTCTACTGTGAGACAGTACCTGTCCAGTATTCAACTAAATCATGAGGTATCTGTGACAAAGACCTCTGTGCCAAACTGGCCTTGTTCCATCGGTGATGGATGTCCTACAGTGTCAATGCAAAGCTCAATTTTATTCTCAATGTGTCTTTCTGAACTTTTCAAAGAGTTAATAAATGTCAATATAATGGTAAGATTAAAAATAATTGGAAATAGAAAATATGTAATGTTTACTATGATTAAAATTCACAGAATTTTACACTATTTTAAACTTTGAGAATAAAGTATTTGCTTCTTGTCCATTTATCTACCCATAACATAAAACATTGTTTTAGACGTTGGTCATTTTCGTCCTATTCATCTTTCTGACTGGTATTTCGTTTACTTTGATATATGTTTTTGTCATTATGAGGTGAGGAATTTTAGCAGAAAAAAATGTTTGTGATATTTATTCTGTGACCCAATAATCCCGCTGCAAATTTGACACCACTCTGTTTTGAGTGAGCAAAGTTGTGGAAGCTCTGAAATGGTGGCAGCGAAGGGGGGCTTGTTAAAAAAATAACAGCTCTGCCTTTCATGAGAAATGAGTATGCACACATCTGAAAGCATGCTGTGCGAGCATCTACAGGCACTGTGCAGGTTCTGCACCAAACATGCCTGCCTGCTGTTGGAATGGTGGTGAGGGACTAAAAGGATGTCCATGAACACAGCAAGAGGTCTTTTATGCCACACAGTTATTCTCTTCAAAAGATGTCTGAAAAAATGACCACAGGCACTTGAGTATCAGCTTGCTTTTATTCCATGAGTAAAAGTTAAGTCTTATTTGTTAATGAACTGCTTAGCTTGAAATGTGGCTTACAAAATGAAAGGGACAAATATAAGTACATAAAAAAAATCATCAAGTCAAAACTGACAACTCCTCATGTTTTATCCACTGAACCAACGGAAGTTAAAAGTACTACAGATTAAGTGAGATATGTGTTCTAGTTCTCTCTGACATACAGCAATACTCTGATTTGAGTGCAGCCAGGCTTGAACAGAAAGGCATCTGAACCTGAGGACATTAGTCTGACAGCTACTCTCGTATGAGTTGTCCCACAGTGCTTTACAGTGGACCTGCAGGTACCTCCAGATTACAGGCATTCGATCTTCAACCCTGAATTTAACCTTACCATCACATTTCATCTATTTTGAAGCAGGCTGCCATGAAAGGCAAATGATTACAATCTACTCCCTTGATTGAACTCCGCTAACCTTTCGGTAACAAATGTCTCAAAAATAAGCACCAGAAAATGTCACACTATTCCCTTCTCTTCGACTGGAAGGGCCGAAGGGTCCAAACCGCACTGCTTCATTTGGACAGCAATATCAAAAAGGTAGTCGTAGCATTCACACCTGCGAAATGCAGCAAATAATGAATGACATTTGAATTAATTTTTTTTTGTCATGCACACACTTAATATAATTATGCAATACAGTGGAGAGAACAGGTGTTTGACACACCAATGATTGTGCAGGCTTAACTACTTGCAAAGAAATTGGGAGATATTTTTATTGCAGGTGCTAATCAGAAACAACTCACAAAATCTAAAACCAGTGTCCATAAAATCTGATTTTTTTTTTTATCGTTTGCATTTTGTTGCACAAGTATTTGATCAGTTACCAAACAGTAAAAATTCTGCCTATCAAATGCCCATTAGTTCTTCTTTAAGAAGTCCTCTAATTCATCACTTATTACTTGTATCAACTGCTCCTATATAACTCATCAGCAGAAAAGACACCTGTCCACACAACCCAACAATCCTCAACCTCTGCACAATGGCCAAAACCAGAGAGCTGCTTAAGGACATCGGAGAGGATGAATGGGGTCATGTAGCTGTAGCACAGGGGTAGGAAATTATAGAACGGCTCCATAGGAAGTATCTGAAGGTCCTCGACAGGCCGAGGCTGTCTCCACACTGGAATATATCAGAAAAGCTTTGGAGAAATCTGAAAGACCATATTGCCCAGTGACAGCCATGAAACTTGTGGGATCGGGAGAATATCTATATGAAGGAGTGGTCCTAAATCCATGCTGCGGGTTGCACAAACCTCGTCAAGAACTACAGGAAATGTTTGTTATCTGCGATTACGAGCAAAAGTTTCAGGACCAAATATTAGGTTCTGTTTTTCTGATGTATCAAATACTTATGCAATACTTATGTCACATGACAGATTGGCAGTGTATCAGATACTTGTTCTCTCCAAAGTACATAATCAATGCTAAATAGATATTTATGGGATGATAGTACTGGAAAAATATAAATGCTCACATCGTCTTTGCTTTTTCCCAGGACTCGCCCCAAACATAAACACCATGCCGACGGACAAGAACGGCACATGAATCCGGGTACTCTTCCATTGCTCGGGCCATCCTGTCTTTCAAGTCCTTCTCCTCTGGTGTGTTTTCAATAATAGGAACTACCAACATGTCATCATACCTGTAGCGGTGGGGTATTAAAGACAAGGGAAAAAAATGTAAGAAACAATCTAAAGGAGCAGATTTTTTTGGACTTACAGTCTCTTGCACAGTAGTTTTCCTCTTTGATCTTTTGGGGATGTTATGTGAAAATGCAGAAAACTTAGTAAATGTGAAGGGTTAAAAAAGGAAGAAAGAATAGTTTTGAAAAATGAAAAAAAAAATAAGCAAACTGAAAAGTCTGAACTGTTTTAGTATCAAGCCTTTCTAAAGCCGTTATTTCTTAATAAAAAATTGCAAACCTTTGGAAATCATCTTATTTGTAATAAGAATAGAGCTACACACTGTTTAATCTGATCCATTAAGTAGCCTTTTTTCTTACTGGTTTCCTACTACTGTACTGTGATTTGATAGCATTTATATTGGTGGGTTTAGGTTGGAAAAGAGGAGATGGGACACGTATCTGTCGAACAACACTAGTTGCACAGTTCAATTCTGGAGGCTTAAGTGGTCAAACCCCTTTCACTTGCAACTTTTCTTATAAACATTATTACAATAGGGAAGTCCCAACCTGAAGCACCACACTCCGTTAGTCCAGTTTCTCCATACATCATTAGAGCACATCGTGAGCTTTTATTTCTGTCTGCCCCCCTACTTATTGCTCTGTGCTCAGCTCACTTTCTGTGCCTTCCTTTCCCTGCTCATTCTCAATCAATCTTCAGTCACGTGAATTATAGAGGGGTGGATCTCGGTCGCTGAGCTTCTCGTGGAGCATAATTACTTTGAGGCAAAACCAACTTTGTTCTCATTCTTGCAGAACAAGAAAAATGTCTTGGCTCTTGCAGAGTATGTAGCAGCCTTAAGGAGCATATAAGATAGGCAAAAGAAAAGGCTATGCAATAAAACAGTGTGCAGAAACTTTGACCAGCTCGGGAAGCTCTGCTCAATCCATCATAAGAAAAAGGAAAGAATACAGCACGACAGAGACATGGGCTTTCACTTAAACTGACAGGCCAGACAAAGAGAGTATTACTAGGATTAACAGTCAAGAGGTTGATGGTAACACTGGAAGAGCAACAGATTTCAACAGCTCCGATGTGAGAAGCAGTCAATAAGAAAACAGTTAAGCAGTCAGCAAATGTGGCCCATAAAAATAAGCTGCATCATGTAAGATGTGCTTGAAAAAGTCCCTTAGAACCCTTGCCAGTAAAATGGTACTTAGGGTAAATTAAAGCAAACATGAGCCTTTTGGCCTACTTGCAAAGCGCTAACACTGCACATCACAAGCATGATACCATTTCCACTGTGAAACAGAGGGAGCAGCAATTTACTGGGGATATGATCTTCAAGGGGGATATGAAGCTTCTCAGTTTTGTTTGTAATTTGGTAATCCTGTCACAAAGATACAAATCTATACAAAGGTGTAATTCAGGGAGCCTAAATTCAAATACACAACACACTTTTCAGAATATTTGCAAAACATTTCAAAATCCATGCATCATTGTACTACCACCTAATGATAGATGCCTATTTTTGGCCTAAAATATGAATTACATTAAACTTTCGAATTAACATGAGAAAATTAAATAATGTTAAAGGAGCATGGATAATTTTACTACCTACTGTTCATTTCCATTACATTTCTCTGTTACACACAGCAGAAATAGCCCTAGCTCTCAACAGGTGAGTAGAAAAAACAAATAATTTTCCTTTGTCTTCTTTCCTGCCTTGGATTAAGGCAGCATGTAAAACCTCATTATGCAAAAAAAAAAAAAAAGAAAAATGACTTTATCAAGAACACTATTCCAGCAACTTTCCATTCAAGTAAATTTCCATACAATTAACATATTGTATTTTAATTTTATAGGAGTAAGTTACTTTAGCTAAACATTTATAATGTTAAAATAATTCTTTTTATTTTTCTCCACAGGCAGTAATGAAATTAACTCACACCACTTATACTGTGACAGAAATGTCTAAAATGTTCTTACTTATTGCTTAATATATCGCAATATTCTAACTTATTAAATAAGGGCTAAACTAATTAACGACTTACAGAAAATTTCAGTCCTTGTTTAGAAAAATATGAATTTCAAATGTTACTTTGCTGTGTAGCAAAACAGCAGACAATATCATCATTAGAGTTAACCTCTTTTATTGAACTGTATGCTGTACCTGTGAGGCATTATTGAAATGGCCGAATTTGATGATAACTGCTTGCTAGTCCTTCACTGTGCCTCCATTTGTCTAAATTAGATATTTACACAAAATAAAATGTAACACCTGAAAGACAATTACAAATTAATTCTATACTAAAATAAAATGTGTTTTTTAATCATACATGGATCTGGTACATATAAAACATATTTATTCAGAGTAAACAAAGATCTGAGCTGTTTCTATCATTTTGCTGAGTATTTTCTTTATTGATCAACAGCACCAGTAGGATCGGCTGCAACACGTTCCAACATTCAGACTGAAGCTCTTGCTGTCAGCTTCAGTCTGGCCAAATCAAAACCTTGGTATTAAAGGCACACTATGCAACATTTTTCAGTTAATTAATGTGTTCCATAACGTTTTGGATGATTAGATGAGTCATTTCAGGTTGAACAAAGGTATTCTCGGCCGCCCTGGTGGTCTGTGGGGGAAATACTGCACTTGCAATTGCAGGAGCCCTCGGCCCACACCCACAGGCTCAGAAGTCTCGCGAAAGTCACTCTTGCTTTACGGCGAGAACTGCTACACGCCCCCAGTTAAAAGCATGCTTGTTGCTAGCACAGTGGCGATCTTTGTGCAGTTATCATGGCGGAACCAGCAAGGAAACAGCGAAAGCCCATGTCGGAGCAGGCAAGAAAGAGGAAAAGGGCTCCGGACAGAGAGAGGAGTCGTACACGGGTGAACATCGGGCAAGCTTTTTCCGAATGGCGAGAGCTAAAATAAAAAGAAGGCTGCAAGGCTGACGCAGACCTCGCGTTTCTGCTGATGCGATTGTAAGTAACATTGGAATGGTTTCTCTCTCTGTGTGCATGTTCATACTTTAACTGTGTTAGTCATTCGTTGCGTTCGCCTGTCAGCTAAGCTCAAAACAACCACGCCTGGCTTGACGGAGAAACCAGGAGAACCGCTGTGCATATTTACAACAGTGCACTTTTACTTTCGCCCTCTGGGGGGAGCCTCGCTGGAAAATCAACACCGGTTGCATAGTATACCTTTAATAACCATATTACACACCAGTACCATAACAACTAAGAAGGGGAATCCCCATTATTTGATAACACATATTTAGACATCAACTGATTTAGATTTTTCCTGTGTTAATTAATAGTCCGGTAGAAAGAATCAGAAGCACGTGTCAATAATGGAGCTCGGATCAGCCAAACCGGGTTGGCCATTTCATCTTGGCCAGCAAATAAAAAGGATACCATTAGCTTATGGTGCTGAGGGTTTTTACTAATTTCCTGTTACAGATCCAGGAGTTTTACTGACCTTTTTAAGTTACTCTCAAACATCAGTCTAGAAAATTTAGTAAAGCTGAGAATCTTTCAACATATCTTTTCTTTTCCGCCTGCCTTAAGGCAAAAGTATCTTGGAAAATTACTCTTGGACCTGCTTTGTTGGCTAAAGTTGGTTGCATAAGTTTTCTTTTTTTCTGGCTATACCTAACAGGTTTGCAGAGTTTAAAACATTCAGCAGAAGCCCATTGTTTTGGTCAGGGGAGCGTCTGCAGGGGGGAAAGGTACTGAGTGCCTGTTATTCCAGTGCTGCTGCTGCCAGAAGATGAGCAACAATCCGAGCAAATAAAAAAAGGACAGATTTAATTGAGTGTATTTATATAATAAATATTCTTAGTATTGATTAAATGATAACAAGGGTTATTTTGACATCTGCAATATACCCAGACGGTGCAGACAAATCTGAAAAGATAAAATCAATCAACCATTGAGCAACTCAATGCATTACATCTTTAGTGGTAAAATATGGCAAGACCAGACACATTTAGCCACAGTGTTAAAGAAAATGCTTGCACTTATTAAAGGGAATAGGACTGTGCATGCAGTGAATCAGATATTGCAGTGAATCAGAAAAATATGCCTTTTCTTTAGTGAGGGCAAAAAAGCCAAGCCTTTTAATATTAAAAGCAAAAAAAGCATCAACACGGGGAAGATGAAAGTTTTCACAGATACATTTCACAGTGGATGAATTTGTTTCAGAAAAACATGCAGATAAATTAAGTTTGGAGGGCAAGTTTTCATTTAAATTACAAATATTTGCAGATGAACTAAATGTTTCACTTTTAACAAGAGATTAAACCTTTCTCCTGACTCTACTGATGTTTGATGCCTGATTACATACCGATAGTTTGTGCCTGAGGTCCCCTTACGAATCCCCTTTATCATCTCCTGGTGTGTTATTCTGAACTCTTTGCCAGGATACAGCAGCGTTGCCATGACAGCAGCCTTGGAGTGGGTGTGTATAACTGCCTGTGCCCCTGAGTTTAGCAAAGAAAAAACAGTTTCAGGTTTGTAATCTGGCATATTCTCCCTTAAATGTTATCTATGATTCAGTTTAAGAGATAATGTATAACACACCAAAATGTTAAAAGAAAAACACACATAATCAAGCCTGTGCTTTTGGAAGCCCAATTATCTATGGGATTGATAAAAGGATATAAGCTGTCCTTGAACACTGGACAATTTAGTGACTGAGCATCCATTAAATACTGGCCGCTGTTTACCTTGCTTTTATAAGTAACTCCCCTCAGTGCTTCTACCTTTTTTAAATCAAAACAAAAAAATTAACCTATAGCTTTTCTAAACATTTCCTGGAGGCTCGGGTTAGCTATCATAAACATGCGGGTTAGCTCTCAGCACCAAAACCCACAACTGAATTCTTATTTTTTCCCTAAAGTTCTGAAGCAAAGCCAAAGCACTGCTGGGAGATGGGCAGATGGTGGGGAAGCTTCAAAAATGTGTCTTCAAACATGAACATTGTTGTTACAAGTTCAGTTTAAAACGAACAGACCGAAAATGCATCCAAAATCTGTCTGACTCAAGCTCCCCAAAGCAATTTTTTTTGCTTATGATTGAATGTCAGTATTGAATATATTAGGCAGACAAAATGGTAATATATAAAAAAAATCTCTTTGTGACTAATTCCAAGGCTGCATTTGCATTATAGGCCTGGGTGTGTCCCAACTGCCACCAGCAGGCAACACAAAGATTCTCAAACAGTCTGCGCAGGGCTTTCACCAGAATTTGAAACTATTTTTAAAGATCTTTTATGCTGCAAACATGTAATCAAGCCCACTCCTGTTTTTTTTTTTATTCATCTTTTCTCCACATTAACATGTGACATTCACATCTCCCCTTAATAATGATCAGAATTATCTGTTGCTCTGATCTACCGACTATCGGTTGGTTTGACTTGGTATACCAGGCGTTTTGAAGGCTGGGAAGGAAGGTCTGAAAGGTTCAAAGCAGATGGGTGTTTCACACTGTCATAGCACTAACGCGAGGTCCTGCCTAATGTCATTGTAGCAGTGCCAACTTTCAGTGTAACAGGCTGCTTTGCTGAAATGTTACAAGAACTCTGCTTCACTAAAGCTCCTTGGATAGGTTAGAAAAGAACTGAAAATCCCTTTATTGTCCCACAATGGGTAAATTGTGGTGTTACAGCAGCAAAAGGTTATAGCAGAAGTGGTCACACAATTTTGACCTTAGAAAAGTGTATAAAAATAACAGATAAGAAAATAAACAAAGTACTATACTGAACAGTGTTTTTATCTGGAGAATAAATAATCAATAAACAGCTGTAGACATTTTTACAGTAACGGATATGTGAAAAACAGCAGCAACACCAGAGATGTGCAAAATGAAAGCAGAATGTTATTAAACTAAGACAGAAACTGCAAAAAATCAGCATGAATGTAACAACTTATTTGGGTTGTTGGAAACAATGGTGGTTATAAAGTCTTACAGCTGCTGGGAGGAAGGATATGTGATAACGCCCCCTGGTGCATTTAGGGTATGTCACTGAAGGAGCTCTTCAGTTCAGCAAAAAGCTTCATGCATGGAAGGAGACATTATCCAACAGAAATGTTATTTTAATTAGTCTTTTTGTTTCCCTCCTCCTCCACTGTACTCCACTGCGCTGTAGTCCAGAGTGCATCTAATCACAATTCACAAAAAGAACTATAGGCACAGTGTGCTAATGCACATATTGATTCCCATGGCACATGCACAAAAACTTAATGGTAGCAGGCAAATATAAACTGGATATATGTGACAGGCCTGGCTAAAAAAAAATATAGAAGTCAGATTTTAAATCTCTTCTTAATACCAATTTCTTTTCATTGGCTTTTAACACAATCTGTGATTTAGATTTTGTCTTACTGTGTTTCTTTTATCATTTTATTATCAGTGCTTTTTATTCTATTACTACTTTTATACAACATTTTCTTGATTATTTGTATTTTATCATCATATATAACACTCCTGTTGGATGTTGAAAGTGCTCTATAAATAAAATTGGTATGGTATGCTATGGTAAGTCTACCCATGTTGTAATGAGTCATTTACATGTCCTGAAAAAGTAGAGTCTAAGCTTTACACATATTTCAAACTTGTGGAAATAAAAAAAAAATAAAAGAATTGAAGAAGGTATGACCATTACAATGTCGAAACTCTCCACGATACTTTAAGAAGAAAACAGACCCTTTCAGTTAATTTAAATATCTTTTATTTCTTGCTGCAACACCTTCTCCCGACAATGTTTGTCAACAGAAGCTCTGTCTTAGACCCCCTAATTTGAAGTGCCCCTCACCTATTTTGCATAACCAAATGGAAAAGCAAATAACAGGAACTGTAAGCCTAAATTACATGTGTGATACATCGTTTGAAAGCTAACACGTTCTAGTTTCAGAGTAAAACACAGCCCAAGCTGCATCAGTTCAAACATGACTCAAAGTTGTTTTTTTATTCTCGAAAATGATAGGTCTTCTTTGAACAGCAGTAATAAAGACATGCTTGAGAATAAGCAAGTCTCATTGTATTACATTTGTTCTACATCATGTCAACCACAATTGCTCTTTATGTTTCCTAAAAGCAACTTTTCAAATAAAGTTTTTTATGAGAAATTTTGAAATGCAAAAAAAGGGAAACTAGTCTCCATGTTTGCAGCAATTGTAGGGCAATAACCCAACAGTTCAGGTCTTGGTAATCAGTGAGGGTTCTATCTGATTGCAGGTGTGAATAGGTAGAAGTGTACACATTTTGAATGTGTACAGTGTACCCATCAACTACTGCATGAAAAACATTTGATTTTGATACTAAAACGCATTGAGAATGCAGGTTCAATTAGTGAGAGATATGAAGTAGGTGATGAGATGTTCTGAGGTTTACAAGACTGTGCCACATTTTCACATAATTCAAAGTGTTTCGCAATTAAAATAACGTCCCACGTTTGACTATGTCGATAAAAAAAAAAAAAATAAAAAAAACTCCACAAACTGAAAACTAAAATAACAGGACATGTGTGTCTCAAATGACACGGCTAAACTAAACCCCAACATTTTTTGTATAGTATTGCTCCTATTGTTAATAAAAATTTTATTGTACACAACTTTATTGTATGACTAAAATTATTGTGTTTGCTCTTGGCATTTGTTCAAGGACAATGTGAAGGCTAAAAAGTACCTATTAACAGTTTATATCAGTAAAGCATAATGTTTTTCAAAGCAAATCACATAAAGATAGAATACTTTCCATGTTTTTAATATTTCCAGGTGACCAGAGTTCCTGAATACAAATGCTGAGAATTTTTAACTGTGTTAAGCTGCCAGTCAGGACACTGCTGTCATTTAAGGTCAGGTTGCTACGCCAAAACGCGCCAGAAGTTTAAAACAAAAACACATACACATATAAATAAATAATAAAAATAAAATCCGAAATTGCAAAAAAAAAATAAAATAAAATTTAAACTGAGAAGTAGTTTCAAATCTGAACATGGCTCAAATAGCTCAAGAGCAGTTGCTTCATTAATCCAGCTGATGGAACTAGGGGGTAAGGGAGCTCCAGTGTTGCATCATTCTATACTCTGTGCATCCAGAAAAAAATGTAGAGACTATTAGTATTTCTCTGGAATCTGGAAGAACCTGGAAATTCTAAAAAAAAATAAATAAAAAAATAAAAAATAAAAAGCCTTCATACTACCCCTTTAAATTTTGGTAATATCCCTTACTGACCCTTGTATAGATCTAAAACTATATAAAACCTGACAACAAAATCAAATCAGTGAAGGATAAACAACACATTGAAATACATGCTTCCCATTGAGAAGCACTACCATTATGCTCAACATACTAAGTTATTAGAAATTTTAAACATAATAGCTTTACCTAAAAAGAATGAGCCATGATTTTGTGTGGTTTATGTTTTAGTTGTAGGGTAAAATTATAAGCTTTAGGAAAAAAACCAAGACATTTTTCACATTACTGTGTAAGTATTAATCTCCTGTTTTCACTTCCTATAAAGCACACTGTGTATTGGGATGAATAAAAGAAGAAGAATATGGTAGCTGACGAAGACAGGTCCATTCTGCACACCCTATAATTCAAATTCTCCTCCAGTCTTTAGCAGAGGTTTCAAATTTATGGAGTTTTTAAATGAATGGTGGCACATACAAAACTGATGACCTTTAACGTTCATATTAAAGCTTCAGATGACTGGAAGCGGGTTAGTATAAGTTGTATGCGCTGTGTATAGAGCGACTAACCTCTCATGGTATAAGCATTCATAAAAAGTGGTGTACACTGGCTTTTCTTTAACTTCTTCCAAGCAGGTGGACAACTGATGTCCCTCTCCTCTGCGTCACACACAAACATGTCCTCTGGCTGAAAATATTAATTAGAAAGGTATGACAGAAACTGACAATGAATTACAGAGAAGATGAGTCATCGTTTTTCAAACTAACAGTTTTTATAGTTAGGTGGAAACCTACTCACCTGTATTCTCTCCTTCTGAACCCCTGATGGTGCAATGTAGATCTGGTCACTGTTATAGAAAAGAATTTATGTATTATTGCTGAAGAGACCAAGAAAAATGTGCCACAGACTTGAAAAGGTCCAAATGAGTCTTTCAAATTGTTAAAACTGTCACATAAATACAGAAAACGAAAATCCCCTCCAATTACAAATTCCCACACTAAATCAGAATTCCTGTGAGCTACTAACAAATAATATAAATATTAATATAGTACGTGTCAACAGATCAGATTCCTAATGGTGCACTGTTTTTGCTGCATATTCTTGCACAGCCTTAGAGGAAACAGAAGGTCTGAAATTAAATGTAAATAAATACAGAAGTGCAGCATTAGATCAAAGGTGCTAGATGATCCTTTCCAAATCTTTGTAATAATCTGGTTTGAGAGTGTTAACATTTCCAGAACAAAAAGGATAAAACCAATTTGCTCAACTCCGTCAGGCAAAGAACATGTCCAGATAAAGAAGTATCGTATTGATTTCGATAGGAGGGTTTGATGAGGCTGCCACAGTCTGTGAGTCATTTCTGAGTCAAACCAAAACTGCAGCAGAAGCCAGGAAAAAAAAATACTTAAACTTAAAATTCAGGTCTGCACTCACAATGAAAAAGAATTTGCTGTATATCATCCTATAGCATTACAAGAATATGCACTCAGACTGCTTGATCAATTTAACCTCTGCTTGTGAAAATCGTGTTTGTTACCTCAAGGGAAGCAATTGTTTATCATGTGAAAACATCAACTCATTCTTTAAAGGCAGGGTTATTTCAAATCTATTTTAATAATAAACTATATATGTATAAGAGGATGAAAAGAAGATAGAGCCTCTGCACCGGACGTGTGCTGCAGAGGGACTAGGAATGTTATATTGGAATCTTGGGCATATTCATTAAGGCAGATGAAAGGGAAATTCTTCCTTGAATCATTTTAGGGTTTTTCTCTCTGACTGAAATACTGATGCACATGGAGCAGCAGTCAACGAATCTTATTTAGCTTTTTAGTGATTTCATCACAAGCCCTTGTTGACTTCAATAAACATCAGCAGTTCTACATTTCAAACAGAGATTTTCAAATAGGAGGTGCTTTCTTCATAGCAGCCACCTAAAAGCACAAACTTCATTCATGTTAGTAATAACCTGCCCAAAAGCCTTCAAAATGAATCCCAGTTTGTTGTTACAAAATTGCAGCCCTGTCTTTTCTCTTTATTTACCAGCCCTGCTTCAGCATCACTGACCTTCTATTGAACTTTCTGTGTAGAAATGCTCTTCAGCAATCTTACAAACAGGACTTTAGAACTGGCACAGCTGGAGATTTACAAGAATTTGTAGGACACCAGTATGATAAGCCAGCTAAAATGAATCTCTTGAACTAAAACTGGATGGACTAGGCAATCATAGTTGGAGTACAAAGGATACAGTAGAAATAAAGCCACATTATTCAGCAGCGAATATGAATACGAACCCTCGTCTTAAGCTGATCCCACCACCAGTCCCAGTCACCCATCCTAGCTGGTAGAAGAGACGGCATAACTCAGGAATGAGAACACGAGGGTGCTCCTTCTCCTGGAAAACAAATATAACTTTTCACAAAAAAATAAAAAAATAAAGGAGTTATGGTTAAACTACCTTAAAAAAAAAAAAAACAAGTTAGTACCCTATCAGCAAAAATGGCGATCATGGTTACAGCACAGAATACACCTTTAATATTTTAACAAACACATTTTTATTTCATTTAAATAAATAACTACAGTTATAATTTAGATGTGATTCAACATGAAACAGAACAGCTGAAGTTTATGTGGTGATACTTTATTACTATTTTTTGTCATATTGTTAGGTGTACTAGTTCAATTCCCTGATTAAAAATAGTCTATCACATCATAGTAATTAATTACATTTAGGCTTCTAGATGCGGCAAAGACAACTTGCCAAAGTTCAAACAGAGTATCAAAATGGGGGAAAAAAAAGGATTTAAAGGACTTTTAAAAGGCTGGTGCCTGACAGGCTCTTCTGAAGATTTCATAGAATGCTGGGATTGTCAAGGACATCTAACTCTGAGGTTTACATAAAATAGTCAGAAAAAGAAAAAAAATATTCAGTGTGCAGCCATTGTGTGACAACAATGCCTCACTGACATCATAGGTGAATTAGCAAAGTGGTTACTTCATGGGTACTAAGTCAATGGAAGGGCTATCAATTAGAGGTGAGTATTGGCATGAGTGTTGCGATTCGATACATGTCGCGATACGATATTATCACGATATTGCAGTATCACTATATATTGCCATATTTTCCCCAGCTATCAAAATCAAATGATGAGATAAAACAGCAAGTGCTGCATATTTTCATCAGAAAATATTGATTAGGTATTATTATCCATGTTGTTTGGGGTTTTCTTCCACTGTGACTGCCTCAAATACAGATTTGGTGCTGCACACACAGTTAAAGGGCTCCACAGCGCTTTCTGCCAGAGTGGTGGTGCAGAGGTAGCCCATTTTCCCATCAATGTTTTATGTAACCATTTTTTTTTTTTGAAAATCGATACTAAGAAGTGAAAGGTCGATATTATATTGAGCAGCCGAATATCACGATATATCGCTAAAACGATTATTTCCCACACCCCTACTATCAATACTGACCCATGAACTGGAGGGATCAGTTTTAACTTAAATTTCAAACATAATAAAAAATGTTATTGTTTCTTTTAAGTTTCAATTTTTCTTTTAGATATTGTCATTTTGAAATCTCTATAAATACTTACAGTAGCAGCCACTCAAAAGGGCCCTTCTCAGCCAAACGTCAGCCAACTGGCAACTCCCAACATAATCCCCTCCAACCTCCAGCCACTGGAGTGACCCCCTCTTGCATATGTTTTTACTCTGACTCCACCCTTTCACTGAATTACAGGGTCTGAACAGGAGATGACACTTCTCTTTAGATCTTAAAGTCCACAATTCATGAAAGAAAGAATATTTTAGTACAATGATTGATGTTTAAAAAGGAATTGTAGGGGACCAGCCAAGGGTATATCAAGGAAAGTGGGGAAATTTTGAATGGCTACTACTATAAATGCTCTATATGATGAAAATCATGAAATGCTCTATAAATTATTAAAAAGAAAAGAGAAACGAATAAAAGAACATTTCAAGCTTAACCTACTAGTGAGTTGTTCTGTTTTCAGAGGATATTGAGGGCACCACACGTGGTCCTCGAGGGTCCCTTGGTGCCTTCAGGCACTGCATTGGTGACCCCTGCTCTAGTTCATGAAGTTTAGTGTCCTGCAACTTTGGATGTGTGCCTGATTATCCATCACAGCTGAACAAAGTGACTGAATAATATTGATTTGAATGCAATACAATGGCATTAACAATCCCCATTTCTCAGTTTAACATTTCACCTTTGGGATGTGGTGGACAGAAAGCTTAAGATGAACGTGCAGGGAAAAATCTGCAGGAATTATATGATGCCACCTTAGACCAATATAGACCAAAGCCTCCAATAAATGTGTCCCACACGTGATTAAATCTACTGTATGGCTCAGAGATTTAAGGCAGTTTTAAAAGTAATAGAATCCAATTCCTTTTTAGCTCAGTGATATAGTGGGGCCATGAGGATATGTTTCATTAACAGGATTGTACAAAATTGATCATATAAGAGCTCTGCACTTTCTGACAAACAAATATATGCAGACTAATATTATGCGCGCGCTACTCTTAAAAGATAGGTATGATCCATAGTTTATCCATACATTTCTTTTTATCGTTAATTTAAATTGAGTAGCAGAAGATATAAATACACTTTCTCTGAAATGTTCTGTTTTACTAAGAATAAATGAGTGAATATAAACATAAACAGAAATTACAGGGATTTTAATGAGTTTCACCTTTATTGAGATGTTCAAAATATAAAATGTATTATTGCATGTATTGTATGTAATCCTAACACTATATACTGTAAATTACTTCAGCTGTTTTACTTCATTAGTAGTTGCTGTAGTAGCATAAAACTTGCAAGCATACTTCTCACATTTGTGTTTTACTCTTATGAGAAATAACGTACCATCAGATTTACTATTATAAAACTGTATACTCAAGGAAAGGCAGCCAGGGGCAGTAGGCAGGTTATTAGCTAGATATATATGTTTTTCCTGCTCACTACTCATTGGCATGCACAATGTCAGAGCAGCACTTTGTGTTGACATGCTGGCTGAGATTTATCTTCATATTTCTAGTTGAAGTTCTTTGGAAGCTCTTATGTAATTTTGGCAGTGTGCTTTTAGCCGTTATCATGCTGGCATGCTGCTCCTCTGCCAAGCTTCTGTATACCGAGAGTCATCTTGTCAGACAGCGTCTCGGCAAATTCACATGCACTCATGCAAATGTTTAACTGTGGTGGCCTTGGCTAGAGCTTAAACGGAGCCCCCTTAAAACATATATGATTGGACACATCTGACCGGGCAATGTGTTCCTAAATGGCAATATAAATATTAGATTTGCTTTGCTGACAGAAGTGACAAAAAGTCCTGGATAGGTGTAGAGATCTCCTCAGAAATACTGAGCGGAAGTCCAGTTGCCTCCAATTTAAGCCTGTTTTGTGGCTGCCATGACCCGCATGACTGAGAGTTTAAACAGGCGTCCTTCACACTGACTGGTGTCATGGAACTCAGATTTCCATCTGCAATCTTTTAGCCAATCTTAGAAAACTTAGAGGCTTGCCAGTTTTTGGCTTATTAAAACATAAGGCTCATTTCTTACAGCCCAGTTTCTATTGCAGCTATGAGGGACTGTGTTTCAGCACATCTTTTCATTCTCTTGTTACTCAATGTCTTGCAGTTTCTCTTTTTATACGTTTCAGAACAAATGTGTATATGGGCATTTTTATACTTACTTGTTTCTCTATAGCCTCTTGACACACATCTAGGCCATTGTTGCTGGTGCCACACAAAGCTGACATCTATGAGAAAAGGAAAAAAACATTTCCCACATTAAATGACAATTTAATACCTTATTAGATGACATCTGAGTAATCTTGGTGTCAAATAAAACTGAATTAATGCTCTTAAATAACAGCTAAACCGTCACTGTTAACCTAACTTCCTGGTTTCACCTCATTACCATTTTAAGTGTTCAGTGGAAATGACAAGGAACAAGAGTGGAGATCTGAATTCCTTTTTAAATTCCTTGTTGCTTTTTTTATCCCTTTCCAAAATATGACATAAACTGTGGTTTCAACTTAAACTAAAAGACAAATATGCACAACTGATTTTTAAAAAATCCTTAAAAAATGCATACATTTTAATGAGTTTCAGCAGAAAGATGATTGGAAAGGTGTGGTATTAATCTATTTTAAAAGAGCATATCTTTAACCTAATATTAATGATCTCCTTTATCTTAAAGATAAAGGAGATCAATAGATTAATGTGAATAAAGATGACCATTGCGTTTTAAGACAAAAAAAAACAGAGAGATTAAAAATATATCCATTGTCAGATTTTTTTTTAATTGCATATTTTTACTGCAAATCTGTTCTGTTCATAGACAGAATATCATAGAAGCCAAAAAAGTGAAAATGTAATTGCAACAGAAATTTGGAACTAATGGAAGTTTCGGTTCAACTCAGGTTTCAATCAAATGCAGGCGGGGCCCTGAAGCTATAATAAAAGCCAGTTTTCACTTGTTGAGACTCCAATGCCTTATCTAGTTTTACAAATGAATCCTGTTTCCAGTTAGAAGTACTTTAAGAGTAGCAGTGGAAACATGCCTCATGTCAGAACACAGACCTATTTAAAAGCCATGCTGTGTCATTAAACAAAGTCTATAAACTTATAGTGGGTAAGAGTAGGCCATTAGAAGGCTGTTTATTTTATTAGTTAGCTCTAATTCTCAGAACTACAAACTGACACAGACAAGAGAAGAAAATTGTCATAATATGAAATACTGTCATAACTGCATTTAGTTGAAAATAATAATAACGGAACTTTATTGATCTCACATTGGAGGAATTAACTCTCTGCATATAACCTATCCCCTTGAGGAGCAGTGGGCCATCATCGTGGGGCACCCGGGAAGCAGTGTGGGGTTAAGAGTCTTTGCTCAGAGACCCAGAGTGGCAGACTGTGGGAGTGGGGCTCAAACTCAGAACTTCAGGATTCCAGGTTCTATGCCCTAATCACTAGGCTGCCACTTCCCATCAAAACCAGGATCTTGGAGAACAATATAAATAAAATCGTATTTGTTCACACTTGGTTAGTCCTAACCGTCCAGGCAAAAAGCTGCATGATAGTCAGAAACTGAAAACTATTGTTCAATTTTGTAATAACGAAGTGAATAACACAATGTTTCTATAGGTTTCTCTCCCTTTATTAGAAAACCAGTATCACTATACTAATTACATAACATTCAGCAGCAAAAAAACAAATGTTAATTGAATTACCGGTAGTGTTGAACGTTAGATCTGTAACTATACAGGCATATGCTTACATTACTGTTTTTTCCATCACTGCCACTTACCCTATCAAGACTGTACTTTAAAACATGAAATAGTCTAGAGAGCTGTTTTTTAACGAGATTTCTTTTTGTTTGCACTTGTGTTTACAAAATGACAAAATAAAATCAGTCTAAGTCTAATCTTCCTATAAAGTAATAATGAAAAGGCCCATTTGAATAAAAGCTTAACTCCAAATGTCACACACACATATTTTTATCAAACAGCTGTAGATGTATATGAGAAGTGGCTCAGAAATAGTCTTCTGGCATATATATGTAAAAATCTCTCTTAAAATTTCAGCCTTGTCTCCACAAATACCTTTTATTGTTATAATTTTGGAAACTTAAACTCATGTTCCAGTGTGGTGATAAGGGGCAGTTAAGTTAGACATTAGACAGATTTTGTCATTTTGTATACAGCGTTTAAAACAGCTCTAGACAATTTCATTTTTTTTTAAAGTGCAGCAGTAAAACAGTAATAGTTACATAAAAACTAATAATATAAACATATGACTGTATTTACAGTTCTAAAATGTTTTATTTATTTATTTTTTTAATAAAATAACCAAACAAGATAAACAAAATACTAAAATAATAAAAGTCTATCAAATTGATTAGAGATATTGATGGAAAACATTCTTATAATGCATGGCACTAGAAATATTACAATTTGTCAAATACTGCATTCAAGCTGTGCTTTGTTGCTGTGATATGAAGGGTGTTGTTTATCCAATAAGGATGGCTAATTCACGTTATCAAGTAAATCCAATCTAGCAAATGGGTTAAGAAACAGAAATATCACCTGTAAGAACGTCCCAAAAGTATCTGCAGCACATATCAGGGATTTGTTAGACTGATCAAATTATCAGTAATGAAATCAGCCTTAAAAAAAAACATATCAGTTGATCTCTAATAAAAACTTTGTCAAGCTGGGAGTATGATTTATCACTTTGTTTTTTGGTTTCTGCACATGCTGTCAATATTCATACAGAACCAATATGACTGGACCAAAGAGGACCTGGCAGCAAGTCAACATTAAATATCAGGACATTTTGCAGTCTGGCAGTATTTGAATAAATTGTTGATTAGAATATAGAAATATTTTTCTAATGACTTAGAGAGTGCCTGCACTCATGTTTGACACTCTTGCCTATTTTAGGTTTTAAAAAAAAGGCTCAGGTGTCGAGCCCACTATCTCCAGAATTCACACCAACAGAAAGGCTGGCTTTTAATTTAAACAAAGGGAAGCTTGTTTTAGAAGGGATAAGGAGGGACAGCTTCGAGAGTCATGATTCAGGTCAATTTATCTTTATGTATTTTCAAATTGAGTCAGAATCACAGATCATCTTAATTAATAAGATGCGTTAAGGTAATTCAAAGCATACAATGAATGTAAGTAGTTAACAGCAGGCCCAGCCATAAGTTACTCCTACCTGAACATTAAGTTTTCCTGTTAACAAAATCCCTTTCATCTCCATGAGGGCTTTTTTGTCCTTATGTGTGGACAGTTATGTTAAAAGCAATATTGTAGAACCCCTCCTTGCTGTAGTTCATTCAACTTTGGCTAGGGGAGGTTATGAGGATGTGCAAATATCCTTTTAACACTTTTGGGTTTGGGGGATTGGGAGGATGGGGGCTGGTAACAGACATCTCATGGAAAATCCGGGATTCTCCTTGATATAGATAGGTGTTCACGGATGCCCACGAGTCGATTTGCAGTGCAGTCAACCGAAATCCCGGACGATTTTGAAATTCCCCCCCGGACATTTTTTTAGGTATGAATAGTAGGACATGTCTGGGAAAAAGAGGATGTCACCCTACCATATCAACAATTTGATGTTTCAGTGAGTGAGTGTTTGTTGCTATGATGAGTCTTTGCTCAGCAGCTTCGCTCATTGTAAACCAACCAATCAGCTCACAGCTCATCTAAATATTCATGAGCATACCATAGAAGGAAGAAAACCTGTCGTTTCATTCTGGGGCTTTTAACCAGGCTTGCATTAGGGCTCATAGAACAGCAAATATGCCATTTTTAGCCCAACCAATGTTACACATCCTATTCAGAGACCTTAAAGGAATAGTACACCCAAAACATGATTAGCCTTCATTTTCTACTCACCCCCATGCTGAACAACACTCTGGAGTACTTTTTTGATATCTCAAATGCATCTGGAGATCTGGGAGGCTTCTTGCTGTCTGCTGACATTCAAATAATGGAGGTCTATGGTGCCCGAGGCAGAAAGGTCCATAAAAGTCCACAAAAAATGTGTCAATATTCCTCCATACTGCTCGTCCAATGTATTCCAAGTGTCCTGAGTGGGTAGCATCCATAATTTACTCGAAACAAAGTCATTTAGAATGTTTTTAGAGCATAAACAGTAGTGTATAGGATTTCCTAAAAGCGGGTTCACGAGTCTACGGAAACCGCGGCAGACCAAACCAGACGAAAGCGCGCATTCAGCTCGGCAAAGAACTCATGCTCTTCCTCAACACTGAAGTCCTCGGACATTTTTCTTTCGTAGTTTCTTTCTTTGCACAGGTAAACAGCACATTTCTTCTTCTACGCTTGCATTATCGGCAGAGCAGACGCTGAATGCGCACTTTCATCTGGTTTGGTCTGCCGCGGTTTCCGTAGACTCGTGAACGCGCTTTTAGGAAATCCTATACACTACTGTTTATGCTCTAAAAACATTCTAAATGACTTTGTTTCGAGTAAATTATGGACGCTACCCACTCAGGACACTTGGAATACATTGGACGAGCAGTATGGAGGAATATTGACACGTTTTTTGTGGACTTTTATGGACCTTTCTGCCTCGGTCGCTGGGCACCGCCATTATTTGAATGTCAGCAGACAGCAAGAAGCCTCCCAGATCTCCAGATGCATTTGAGATATCAAAAAAGTACTCCAGAGTGTTGTTCAGCATGGGGGTGAGTAGAAAATGAAGGCTAATCATGTTTTGGGTGTACTATTCATTTAAGGACCAGCACCAAATACCCTATATAATCATTCTATGACCCCTTTAACAATGTTAAAATATTTGACAAAATAACAATTACCATTACTGTTATTTTCAGTAGGCTGCTAAAAAAGATAGCAGTACACACAAAAGTAAACTGAATCCCTGATAAAACTCATCAGGTATCTGATAAATGTGACCTTTGAACAAATAGGGCACCAGGACTAAGCAAACCTGGCTATTGGTTTGGTCCGGAGCAGGCTAGCTGCACAAAGTAAATCTTTATGATAACTTAGGTGTTAATGCCTTTATGAAACCAGGTTGAGTATTAATTAAGACAGGATATCCAGAAAATGCAAGTTTTATCCTTTACGTTGGTTTTATGACACAGGCCTCAGGAATCTTTAAATACCAAAACTACACAAACACAATAATCCCTCATGAATTAAAGGATCCCAACATAAACCTGACTGTTAAAAGCATATGATATTCAATTTAATGCCTGGCTCAATGTATTTAGAGGTTTTATTTTACTGAATCACAAACTTCACCTTAACTTGAATGAATAAAACAGCATGTAGCACTCAATATAGACTACACACTGTGACATCTGTGTGACAGGCATTTCAGACACCATGTAGAAGCAATCATGGCGGGCATGATGATCATCATCACCTTTTTATCAAATGCACCAGTCGGTCAATATAAAACCGAATAAAAATGTGAGTAAACAGAATAAAAAGATACAACTCACAAAAGGGTCATTCGACAATAGTGCCATGATTTAAATAGAAACCTGCGCGACCTTTTTGCAGGGACGGTCCGTAATAGGATGATGTACATTCAGTTTATCTACAAACACTTCTGTACAGAATAAGTTGTGTTTATTTGTTTGTATTATTTAAAATAAGTTCTATATGAGCTTTTGCGACACAAATAAGTAAAAATGTAAACAAACTGCTAAATTGCCAGGCTAAATTGTTAGGTTCTACCTAAACAACTTAATTGTTTAGGTAGAACCGTTATAAGCATGATCGTATCGAGTGTAACTTTGCTAAGAGGCTAAAATTACTCCCTTTTTCGTCCGTATCTTATTCGACCAGGTACTTTTTGATATCCTAAACCCTACATCAACTACACCACGCACAAGACATATGTAATATAATGCTGGTCACCATAAAAAAAAAATATATATATTTCTTTATCTTTTATTTCCATGAAGTTTAATGCTAGCTATGTGCTAACAAATAAGAGCTAACAGCCCACACTAACTTGCAGCCTACAAGTTCGGCTTGTGGTTCTTAATTATGATGTAGTCTACTGCAGTGATAAAATCTCTAGTCAAAAAGGCTTTTAAAGATTCAAACATTAAAAACCACTTACCACAATTAAGCTGGTAAATCACGCTACGATAAAAACAAACATAAAGTTACAAACTCGCATAGTGACGCTTCCGTTACGTCATCCATGTGCGACACCATATAGAGCAGAAGTCAGATCCAATTGCATGGGTTTTGAAAGTAATAAAATAACTGACCATCTATTTTGTTTTGTCTAAAACTGTTAAAATTTTTGCAGATGATTGATCAGTAAATATAAAAAGATGTCTTATTCCAGAGATGACAATATTATGTTATGTTTGTCAAAACATTTTATTCCTAGAGGGAAAAAATGCCCCCCCTTATTTCGACTATTTTATAAATTGCTTCAAATTCTTAATTAAAAGTTAGGAAATAATCTAAAGCCTATTGGTATTTTTTTGTCCTGCCAGTTCTGAAAAAAAGGTTGCAATTTCACTATGAAACTTGACTAATTTTGCTGTAAAGTTTCATTAAAAAAGAAAAAATAATGAGTCCTGTGTTGTACTGAATCCAAAAAGGTGTGATGGAATCAGTCATTACAGCTGAGACAAACTAGCGCCTGCTCTCAACAAACTCTCCCTCTTTTTTGGTGTGGTGTTTCCTGTAGACCTTAATGTTTAATAATGGATCTGTTAAAAAAAAAAGAGAAATACCTTTTTCAAAAGGAGAACAAAGAAGTTATGTTGTCTTAATACTTAAGCTGAACATGAGACCCAGCACTAAACCTTATTTATGGTATCACCACATCACTCTAGCTTGGCATTGTGATTAAAGGGCTGTTTCATGAAGAAAAAAGAAAAATATTTTTTGCCGTACTAGATTTTGAGTTACAGCTTATAGGGGATTAACACAAATGCACTAGTACTCACACACTTTTATTTTGTAGTTGTAGTTGGAAATTAAATTTAAATCATGATTTTCCCCTCTACTTCACGATTATGGCCATTCTTTTTGGTTTATAAAATAAAATCATATTAAATACAAGTAGACTTCTATATTAACAAAAAATAAAGAGAACTGTAATTTTTTATTTAGTCTTACATAGTCTTAGGTTAGGTGATGGAGAATCTGTTTTGCTTGATTACTTCTGTCTATTTTGTTTGTTTTCTTATTAGTTGTGATGGATCAGCTTTATGCACAATATTTGGCTGTTGGGAAATTAAATAGTTTGCTATGATAAAAAAACAACAACATTTAAATT